AGAATAAGATGAATACGCCACAACCAGATGAAGTATTTGAATACCCAGCATCTGTAAGAATTAAAAACATGGGAAATATAATTATATAATTTACTTGTATATCAGCTTATCTTAATAGCAGATTAAAAACTTTTTATATCAGCCCTGCCTATGACCAGTTTCTATTGACTGGATTATAACTAAGTTGCTGTTTGATTCAAAATGCAAAACCACAACAATGCAGATTCTGTTTAAAGGGAAATGTGGAAATAAAAAATTATTAAATTTTAACAAAACGGATCCTCTCATTTATATAATTTCTTAAACAGATAATGTAGAAAACAGCTTCAAAAGTATAAAACACAACTAAAATTTTTAAAATCCTTTTCTGCCTACTAATATCCCTTGTTGTTGGAGTTATTAATAATAAATATTTGTATATTACCATAAGGCACCACCTCCAATCTTAGATATAACAAACAGCTCCATTGGTTCATACAACAGCGGCCTGGAACATGCGGTGCACCTTCAATCACCGCCAAAGGTTGGATATCAAGTATTGTTTAAATATTGATCATATTTTACAAATAAAAATTCTAGTAGGTCTCAAATTTGTAAAATTATTTTGAAATTCAATTTTGCGTTTGAACTGATTTGTGGGAATCGCTAGACCTTTGTTTAGTTACTACACTATGTTTAAACTATGATATCAATGTTTGCCAACTGGGGAGGGGGGGGGTGTCTTTTATAGATGCCAACATCAGCTGACTTATGTTCTGCAGGCTCACCAGACCAACACAAAGAAATCTCCATCAGACCAAGCTCTAAATGAAAATGTACCTAACGGCAGCAGGGACGCATCCACTTTACCCATTCAAAGAATGAAAAAAGCAGACTCGTGAGCATCTGAACTTTCACATGTTGTTTATAATTATCTTAGGTGGTTTTAATTCTGTAAAATAAATTAAAACCCTGAAAGTCTTTGATTTATAGCATGGGGTCATTTTCATCCTCTGAAAGTTATTAGAAAATCTATTCAGACAAATTTTTTTAATTTAAATATTTCATCTTCTTATGGTAAATGTATATAAAAACATCCTGGATAGTGCTGTCTAATCTCAAAAATTTTAAACATGAATCTGTTTATTTAACAAAAGATTCCCACTATAGTTTGTTTTCCATTCTATTGTCAAAGACAGTGCTCAAAATTAACTTATATGTTAATGTTAAGCCATGGTAATCTCAATGACATCCTTGTAACTTGCTTAAATATTCTCCTGTGGTTTCTGTCCAGTGTCATAATCTATTTGTTTTTAAAGTAAAGTTCCAATTGTTCACAGAACCAACTCAGTGAATATGATGCAAAAGATAGGAGACCGTGCTTCCCTCAGTAAGTGGCATATTTCTCGAAGTAGAGTAGTACTGACTGTGTAATCCAGATCAGGCCAGCTCAAATATTTTAGGAATAAGATAACTTTAAACTCAATCATCATAAATGAAGGGATAGGTGAAAATTTAAATTTAAAAATTATAAAATAGAATTACAAGTCGTTTCTGCAAATGAAAGATTATTATTTAACTGGAGTACAGAATGACAACCCCCCCACCCTAACTGGAGTACAGAATGACAACCCCCCCACCCAAACTGGAGTACAGAATGACAACCCCCCACCCTCTTGTGTTGTTAGGGCTTTTTAAAAAAAAAAATGTTTTTGGCATTTTGTCTAACCTTATGATTTTCAGTTACTGGTCTACTGAATGTCCCAATAAAGCAAATATAACATCTATTTTTAGAACCCAAGAAGGATAAACCTAGATATTGTTTTGTGGGCTGTTTATATAATTGTTTTTTCAAAATTCAAAATTTTCATTGAATACAACTATCATCAACATGCCAGAGCAGAAATGAGTCATCGCTAACACTAAAATTAATAGGCTTAAACTTAGTGGCCAGTATGGATATTGACATGTAATTGTTGCATGCCATGTAAATGTAGGGGGGGGGGGGGGGGATCCCTTATCCATGGGTCATGTAGAAATCGTAAGCACTTAACTGACTGTGCTGACTAACCCGTGTAGTCCTAGCTTGTATTACTAATTTCTATACAGTGGGATACATGCCATTTTTGTTGTATTACTTTAAAGTTAGGTTAAGACTACGTCGACGTAAGTAGAGATAAATTAAATACACATTTTGAATGGGAATTAACACATTTTTTTAAAAATTTACATTGCTTTCAAAAATTAATTTTTAAATTTTATGCACAAAGCATTTTTTTTAGCATTTATGTAATTTGCATGTTTGGCTCCAATAGGAGAAATAATTTTTTTTAAAAAGCGTTTTTATTTCTTTTAGACCAAATTGGAATGTAAATTTTATCATTCTGATTCCTCCAGCTGAAATCAAATTACCACAGCACGTAAAAAAATAAATTGTAATTAATTTTTTTTACAATTTTTTTAATAAAATAAATTAAATAAAAGAAAAATTGTAAATTTTATTTTAAAACGAAACATTTTTACAATAAAACAATTTAAACAATTTTTAACTCCAATGGTATATGTTGACATAGATAAACCACATTATTATTGTATCAAAAAGAATATCTGTCAGAATAAGTTCTTGTTTTTACAATGACATCATGACCAAGAGAAAAATAATGACTTGAGCATTTTATTTTTAAACTTACTTGTGAGTAGTGAAAGGTAAAAATGACTGTGCGTCTTCATTGTTTCATGGCAATAGTTGCTTCACTTAACACCCATTACAATTTAATTATCACTTCATCATTACATGACTTAATATTCACAAATTAATGAATTATCTGAAAGTTTATTTTGATAAGCTAATGGAGTTTCAGATTGTTTTTAAAAACATTATTTCCTCACTAACTCATGAACTATGGGTAATGCTCTGTACATAATGAAAGGCTTGGTAATGTAGACTCCCCTCCATTTATAGAAGGTGATTTTCAAAATTTGAGTTATCAATAGGCTATTTATCAATCTAATTAGCGAACTCCCACTTGTGCTTGTATTAATCTTTTCTCAAAACCATCTTGTAAAAGTTGCACACAAAAAGAAGAGACCTATTTGAAGTTAAAAACTTTCTTCAATAAAAAAAAAAAAATAGTGCATGCTGCTGATAACTAAAAAATGTTTGTTAACTATTGTCACACAATTTATCTTTTATTATTCACACTACACAAAAAAAAAGAACCTTTCTTTTTTTGTTGTTATAACATATTGTTTAAATTAATAAAATGTCACCACTGAATATTTATTGAACTTCTTTTTCCTTTGCAATGTGATGACTCTACTACTTGCTTTCCTCAAGCCTGATAAATTAAATTCTTTTGCAAAATTGAGTGTTGCTTATAATTAATTTATTGTTCATATGTCAAACTGTTGTATCCTATTTAGGAGTCTCACAATATCTGCTCTCCTTAAAATCAACATTATAGTTATAACAAAGTGGATTCAAATGTCCTTAGGTACCTTAGCTTCAGCAAAAAATTATTGAATTTGACCACAATATTTATGAAAAGCTTCAAGGATGAATATCAGTCACAGTGTTCATATTGAGTGTTAAGTCGATGCACATCACATTTATGCCATCCTCACCTCTATGCTAATCTTGTTAAATAAAACTACATAAAGGAGAATGAGTAACTCACCCATACAACAACTTTAATGTCAACAGAGTTAGCTTAATAAATTTCTACATTTTCAAATTACAAAAAAATACATTCCAGCAATGGAAATTGAAATTATTTACACTGGATAACTTTTGAGATGCAATTAATAAATAAGAAATAAATAAGCCAGAGTTCTTTTAATTCTTTTTTTAATTTAATTTTAAAAAATTTTAAGTTAACTATTATTTGATAGGTTTTTTATAACCACTCCAAGGCATGCAATTCTGCCTAATTAATTCTTAAATTGAAGTAGCTTAAATCTTTGAAGGACTCAATTACAAAATTATGCCACAAACATAATTTGTTTAACTTCTATTTCATCATATGAATACATATATTGATACAGGATAACTTTATTAACATTTATATCCATTAGTTAGATTTTTTTGTAATTAATTATCATATAACTAATCAACTTAATGAAATCAATTCAGTAAAGAGTTTTATTATTTAATGGGAACCAGTCATATCTGCAAAAAATTAACTTTGAATTTTTTAAAATTATACTATTAACAAAAAATAATATATTTTAATTGCAATGTCTAATTCTCGAACTTCAATACTTCTCTTGTATTACAGACAGCTCAGCATCTGTTGGAGACAAATTGTTTAGTGTTTCAGGAAAAGTCATGCGTGTGCGTGGTGAATTTCCCCCTACTTGTACAGAACTCTACTGCAAAGTTAGACTAGAAGTGTAAGTATATACCTTTATTGTGCATTTCCCTGTAGCAAAGTTTTCCGCTAAAAAAAAAAAAAAAAAAAAGTTTTCCTGATGTGAATTTAAAGAAACTAAAGTTAGACTAGAAGTGTAAGTATATACCTTTATTGTGCATTTCCCTGTAGCAAAGTTTTCCGCTACAAAAAAAAAAAAAAAAAAAGTTTTCCTGATGTGAATTTAAAGAAACCTGTAGCTAAAACTAAAAGGAATTGCAATCTATTAAATTCTATCGATGTCAATGAAATTTAGTATAATGTAGCATCTTTTGCCTGTTAAAATTTGCTAATATTTTCTTTATTACCTATTGTTAAAGATGATTTTTTTTAATGCTCTGAATTAACAAAAATCAGAGTTTTATAATAAATATTGATACAAAAATATTTATTAGCTGTGTTTGTATTTAAAACAAACATTAAATCAAAATTTCCCTTTATTATTCCTGTCAGACCCGGAAACCGTCTCAGTCTGTTTCACAATACCAGAATCATTGGAAAATCCCAAGTTGTGCCAATTCATGAGAGCTCACCTAATTTGAATGTGGACTTTGAGGTAACAAACTTTTGTAGTGAATATAAACAAAAAATTGTATACTACACAGAATCTGTGTTCTATCTGGACCAGCATGAAAATATGGACAGGTAAGAAAAGAATGTATATTGAAGTTGAATATAAATCTTATAAATAGAACAAAAATGGTTGACTCCTGAATACAAAGTTCTTTTATTTTTGTGTTGAGATAAATTAGACATTATTAAATCCCATGCAAAGTTTGTTGCTGACTTCAGTGGCTGCAGTTTTTGTCTCGGGTTTGACCTACATTCCAAGAATGACTATTTAACTGGGCTGATGAGCTGATTCCACCCATCTGCTAGGACCATATCATATCACTTAGAACCTGCACAATACTACCATTCTGACTCGGGGACACCTTTTCAGACTTTTCTTAAATTAAATTTTGTCTTGTGCTGTCATTAAATTTAATCCCCGATACTGATTATATTTTTGTAAAGTTTGTTTTATTCAATAAAATTTAACCTGCCAACTATTTCATTCAATATTTATTTTAAAATCTCAGGTTGACAGAGGTTCTGGTGTACCAATTGATGCTCTTCTTATTTTTGACCTCAAACATTCCAGAAAGGACCACCTTACGACAAAGAGTAAATCTTTAAGATCTCTTTTGGCTGGTAAGGAAATATATAATAAGTGTATGGTATGGGCCAGAAGGACACAAATATATTAATGTATGGTATGGGCCAGAAGGATAGAGCTATATAAATGTATGGTATGGGCCAGAAGGATACAAATATATAAATGTATGTTATGGGCCAGAAGCACAAAAATTAATTTTTCAGCAGGTGATTGAATGGAATAATAAGAAACAGTTTTTGAAAGTTTTTCTGTCCCAACCTTGTGGGAAGCAATCCTTGGTTTAGTGAGGTCCATATATGTACCATTTTTTCAGTTTACATGGAGATTGACTATTCCTTACACTCTATTATTAACAGATGCAGACGGCATTCCAAAGTGGGTGTCAGTTGGCAATGGCATTGAGATTGAGCTTCTCCTAAGTCAAGGTCAACCTTCGCCAAACTACCGCAAACGTTCAGGCAGCATCCTCAAATCTTTATCTTTTAGGAAGGAAAAACCTAACTGATCAAAACCCTTCACACCAGATGGATGGTGAATTTAAAACACTATCACCTAATTATCCATTAGGTAACAGAACACATGGTTGTGAGTGCAGCTACAAAAATAACATTTGTACAAATATTTATCTTTAAGCTAATGACTGTAGGTTTCATCATAAAGTGTTGTAAATATATGTGCCATAGCAGAAAATTTATGAGCAATACATTTAACATTTTAAAATATGATTAGATATTTTCAGTACAGATCTGTTTAGCGAAGCTGATATTTTTTCATGCATTGTAACCATATAAAACTCTATCATATATTACTTCTCTGCAATATGGTTCTTGCTGGTTTTGTCTTTTTAAATTTATGGAACAGTCCCTTTGAAATCTGATCCTTTGATTTTGAAGATAAGGACTGTTTTCTTGAAAAAGATAAATTATGAATTACGTGAAATCTAAACATTCACAAAATTGGATGCTGTGCCAGTACAATTTAATTTAGTTAATCCTCTAACATAAAATCATGTAGGTATGGGCAAAACTGTGTTGAAAAGCATCTGGCTTTAAAAAAAATTTGTATTCATCACATCTGTTCAAATACGGTAACAAATAAATTCTTCTTGCCTTACTTTAAGTGATTACAGAATTATTTTTTTTTAATGCCAACATATTGAACTTGCATTATCCATATCAGTTAACAAACACACTGATAGCCTTAATATTGATCAGCTAAAATGCTATTTAATTTGTTAAAGACTAGGGAAGTACCCTTATGATGTTGACATAATTCCTTTCCTAAAGTATGTGCATAACCTGTATTGAGTTGAATGATATGAAAATTTAAAGCATATGTTGCAGTTTCACTCAGATTTGTAGGCTACCTGGTATATATTTATACATTAAAACACTCAAAAATAATTTTTAAAATTTAATTCTAATTAAAGAATTAATTAAAATAGAATATTTTATTTAATAAAAATAAAGGTTAAACATGCTAAACAGTGATAATTGTTGATCATTTTTACCTGTATTTTGTTATAAAATGCCTAAATTTAACATTTATTTAGAGAAATAAAAATTGGCAATATTTGAATTATTGTTGAATGAATATTAGTGTTTATGAAACATGAAAAATTCATATAGTCTAGTGTGTAGATGAAATGCTTATTTCTCTTGCTATGTGTTTGAATTATTGTGATTTTTTTTTTCCTGGAACTTTTTTTTTTAAAACAAACTATAAAAAAATGTATTTATTTTCACATAAAACTGAATGGTGATATCTGAAATAATATATACAAAAGTTGTAATTTATTTTAAAATATTAATACATGTTATTTTAATCTTTAATCTTTTTGTCAAGGTTGTACTTCAGATGCACAGATACATAAAACTACTTTTTTTTCTGCTCTTAGTCATCAGACTAATAAAACATGACATATCAATCATAATGAACAAAATAAAATGTGATATTATTTCATACCTGTATTTTAAAAATAATTAAAAATTTCCTTACTCTGACTTAATTGTAACAGCTAATTCTATTTTGAGTACTCATCGACAATCAGCATAATTATAGTAATTGCATTTATGTAGCTGAAAGCTAAATGAAATTAACTCTTCCCACATTATTAATCAAGGGTAATGGAAATAATTGTGTGTTTTTGTGTTGTTATTGCAAAGTTTAGCTAAAAATAGTAATGACCTAGTAACCTATATTTCTTGGAGCTTGGTATATATTTATTTGAGTTGACCCCATGACCTATATTATTTTTATTTGATCCAGTGTTAATCACTTGCCATGATTTTTTTAAAAAATTTTTTACATGCACATTTAGTTGCTATGGTAATGGAACCACATTTTATTTTTGGCCATACAACATTCCTTAAATCTCTCAGGGCTGCTTTTTGTAAACAGAACGGTTTTAAGAACTGAGTGATTTATGTTAATTATACGTACTTTATTAATGAAACATGTAATGCAATGAAGTCCTGTAATCTACTTGTTTCGTTATGAAATACATTTACCGGTATTCCTGGTTTGTTTCAAAAAAAAAAAAAAGCTTTCTTGTTTTTATGCACCCTTGTTTTGAATTATTTTTTTTAACATTTTCATTTAACTATTTTTTTACTGCACAACATGTACATATTTTCAACTTAAAACAAAATACTGTCTATTATTTTTGAAAATTGAAAAAGGATTTTTTTTAAAGTTACTACCAGTATTTTAAAGAAATTCCCTTTCTTATTTAAAATGTTTTTCAACTTTAGAGTAAAATATGAATAATAATTTCATATATAAATGCTGATCTGTTGAGCTGATATCAGCTTTAGCAAAATAATGACAAACTTAAGCCTTTATGATAAATAACAACTGCAAGTCAGACAAGGGCAATAACCTAATTTTCCTAAGTGGCTAAAGTTGTGATTAAAAAGTTAATGAGAATAATGATTGGTAATGTAAGTCATTCAATATTTCCCCATATCTCAATCAAAATTTAATGCAAAATTTGACTTTCCATTTGGTGAAGAAGTTTCAAAAAATGTTTGTTCTAATTTAGAACTCTGTGCATATTTTTTGACTGACGAAAAATTACTTAATATTTTTTTCAGAGTTATTTTTTAAAAATTACTCTGTGCTGCGCTATTATTACTAACCGAATGTAATTATAAAGCGTCATAAAATGAATTAAGGCTTTTATTAAGAAACTTATCTTAAAGTGGTCACTTTTAGAACTTTTTTTATATTGTTTGTTAAGGTATTTCCATCATAATTCAATGAAGAAAACAGCATTGTAAATACTGTATTCTACTGAATATTGTTTTTATAAATATAATCAGAAAATTAGACATGCACAAAATACTTAAGACACTACTTTTCCCTTATTGATTCTGTAGATACATTATATTTACTGGTGTATGGTAAATGAAATGAATCTTTAACAAATACAAAAAAAAACAACTGATATAATCACAGTCGCCTTGCTAATCTGAATAGTGATTCATTTAAACTTTATATAAATTTAATACATTTAAATTTTGTAAGTTAATCCCACACTTTCTCCACAGTATTTTAAATTTCAATCACTTGAGAAAATTTCAAATTTATATATTTTTAAGAGAGGAAGAAAAAAAAAAATCTCATAAACTGCACAAGTTTAGGAACTAACAATAAAAACATGGATCTGAAGTAAAAAATACTAGAAAGAATTAGCAATGGGATGATTTAAACAAAAAAAAAAAATTTTGGTAGGGTGACAGCTTTTGTGTCAGCACTTAAAGCTTTAATGCAAACCATTAAAGCTGCTCTCGCAGAGCACATTAATTATCTCTTACACTTACTATTAACTTGCTTATCACCTCTCGCTAAATCAACATTCAATTCATGTATTTAATATGTATCAAGTAGGTGGGATGGCAAAAGTTCTATACTTCTTCTTACAATGAAGGTTTGAACCCGGGGAAAGATTCTTCCTCGATACATATTCTAACACTAATGAATAGATTGTACCCACATTTGATAACTATTTTGGCATGTCACATTGTTACCCTCCTGGCTGATATTAGTTGACTGATGCTAAATCTTAAGGTGGTGGTTAGACTACTTTCCTGTGTTAGTGCAATCCTTTGGTTACAAAAGGATACCATCTTTCCACTATCAATATAAGTGAGTTTGTGTGTACATGGTACCATAGACCAATCACTTTTATTCTTGCAATTTGTACATATGTACAAAAAATAATTGTTGTCTCATCGAGATATATTATATTTCACACTGCTGCCAGCAAACTCATTACTCAGTGTCAAGATTTTTTTTTAATGATTTACAAGTTGCAGTGCAGACAAACTGCATTTTTTAAATTGAAAAATGCAAGTAATTTCTAGCTAATTTTATTGCAATTATCAAGGAAAAGAGATGCACTTAATTTTATATTACTTGTATTAACAATCCTATTGAGGATTTAAAATCAGTTTTAGTCTAGCACTCATAAATTCTACTGGGAGAATATATCATGCTTTAAATTTAATAATTTGTACATCTGCTAAATATGTTGTGTAGCAGGGTTTTAAGAAAACATTGCATTTGCATGAAGAAAAAAAATACATTGATATTCACTTGATGAGATTTGCCATTACATTTACTATTATGTATAACTTGTATTTGTTGTTGACATTAACTATATATACTTAAACATTAATCATTATTTCAGCTTTTGTAGCCACCTTATTTTGAAAATGTATGTAGTAAGTGTTTAGGCATCAGCAAAAAAGAGGAAACCCTCAAATATTAATAGTTGGTAATAATAGTAATAGTACCTAGCTTCATTAAATCTGCAGCAATTTCAGCCTTATATATGTTACGGATGCTATGCAGGCTGATACCAAACTTATTTCAACTCAATAATAAAAAGAAAATACTCTTATCAAGATGTTTTCTGTTGTTTGTTGTGAAGAGCTAGTGATCTGAATGATGGTCCAAAAAATGAATATTTTGCTCATTAAAGCTTTAGCTTTCAACTCCATGACATTTACATATGGTGTAAAAATACAAAACAAAAACTATTTATACCGAAAAAATCATTTGTTGTAATTTATTCTATACCGAGAAAAACTCTCAGACTATTGTAAATTAGCGCAGTGGTCAAAACAAACACTCATTTGTAACTTTAAAACACTTCATTTTCAAACATGTATGATTCAGTCAAATGTCTTGCTGTCCTCTCAATCTCATATAAGCACAAGTCCATTATTCTGATTCAGCAACAACGCCCCCAGGATTCTTGTAGTGCTTGATATTGGCCATAATCCAGAACATAGGCGCAACTATAATAACACACATGCTTCCCCCAACTGCAAGCTTTGTCTGAAAAATAAAATATATGAGTGATAAGTTTAGATCTTCAACTATGACAGTGAAAAGCAAAAACACAATAGGACTAAGGAAATAAACAAATGATTTAAGACAAAAACTAATTAAGCATTATAACAAGTATGTTTTAACTTTAAAGGAGACACAGAAAAAAATTAAAAACATTTCGGCTACACAAGCCTTCAGTTAAATTAATGTGTACCTGTACACATTCTAATGCTAAAAAGACAGTCAAGAACAAAATTAGTAGCAGTAGAATTAAGTTCAATTAAGTAACTATAAAAGGTTTTGACTGTGATTAACCATAATTGGATTAAATACAAAATATTTGTGTGTAAACAGTATGATTAGGATTTCCTGAAACAAACTAATAAATAATTTGACTGTCTTAAAAATACCGTTTCCAGTTCGACCTAGTTATTTCAACCCAAAACAGGCATGGGCGCCCGCAGAAAACTTTCTAGGGGGGATGCAAAAAAATCTATTAACTTTCCAGGGGAGGGGGGCAAATTTTTTTTAGTAAAGTTTTAATATAGTTTTAATTTACTGTAGCGTATTTGCATGGTGAACGAACGGACAGCACATCAGCTTAATTACTTTCTCTTTATTATCTCTTTACTTTAATAAATTTTGTGTCTATTTTTGTCTAAAATTTTTTTGAAACCGAAGAAAAACCTAAAGTTAACTTTTCTCTTTCGGCCGAAACCGAAATTAAGCCGAAAGTTAACTTTCCAGTTTCAGCCGAAACCGAAACTTAGCCGAAAGTGATAAAATGGCCACTTTCGGCGCCGAAACCGAAGCCGAAATTCGGTCGGTCTCTACATTATATACAATAGAACCCGGTTATGTTGACGGCCTAGGGGTTTGACAAAATGCATTGAGATAACCAATGATCGAGATAAACGAAAACCAATATAGCGTCAATATATTAAAATTTGCTAGAAATTTCTTTATGTACATGATGTGTATTGATAAATAAGAATGAGTCTAATACACTAAATAAAGCCTAATTTTCAGACTATGCCTAATTGAATAATTTAAATGAATAATGATTAATAGGCTATAGGGCTTAGCCTAATGTGTTTTAGGCCTAGACTAGGTTTAGGTTACTTTATATTAGATTTAGACTGACTGATTAGACTGTATTTGATTAGAATACTAATATTATAAACACTTTATGTGTAAAGTACTCAATTTTTGTCTTAGTTTTAGGACAGCTTGCTTAGGCTCATACTTAGTAGACCAACTTTCTATTAACGAATATTATAAAAAATTAAAATTAAAATTAAAAAAATAGGTCTATAATATTAGGTACTTCACATGTCGGTGCGCACCGATAGATTTTTCGGATGCTGGAAACAGACCATAAACCTATCAATGCAGGTAGGTCACGGGGTTATATGGAGATCTAGTTTTGTTTGGCTACCTAAGGGAGTGACAATGAAATTATTATAGTCTGTTTTGTGCACACGAGAAGGACTATCATTACAACATAAACTTAGGGATTCTTTCACTCCTGTATTTTGAGAAATAAATAATTATATTTAATTATGCAAAGCCGGTGATTGGTCAGGGGATCAAGATAACCAACGTAAAGATGCAAATTTGGCCGCCTTTTGTGCCTGAGATATCAGGCTTCGGCAGCATAAAAGAATCGATATAACTGAGGAGAAAATACTAAGAGAGACTTTGGCAGTTCCACTTCAAAAACATCGACATAACAGGGTTGGCGAGCAAACCGAGGTCAAGATAAGCGGCTTCGACTGTAATCTGAACGGTCTATATTATAACTATAATTCAGGCTAAATAGTAGGCTAGTAATTATTTATCAAGCCTGTCCCTTTTTCAGGCTTTGTAAATTATACCATGCCATATGACAGCCATGCATGAATTGCATGGCATCATCAATAATGTAATGCCATGGTCATGATGGTGTTGTGCTTGTTTGTTTTTTCTAATATTTATATTAATATTTTAATTTGTATTGTATACATTTCAATTGAGATCTCAGTGAGATTCTCACCACTGAGATCTCTTGAATAATGAAATGCATAAAAATAATATTCTCATTTATTTAGAAACAATATCAATAACAGAAAACATGCATTTTCTATTGTACTTTAACTTATTTAATTCACATACCCATTTTTATACTTAATTACTATACTATATAGTACTATACTATTATTATTATTATTGTTCGTCGGTCGAGGATCGACGAGGACCATCGAGTCGTCTGGTGACTGATGACTTGCGCGGATGACTTTGTTTAAAGTGAAGAAGAGTTGCGCTGCGCGTCTACCTCACTCTCTCATCCGAGCCCACCATATCCAGTGGCAAGACTCTACGTCAAGACGACCAGGGATGGGTTCGGTTGCAGGAATTGTCATTGTTTGCGCCTTACGGCACGGGACTCCAACTCCGGGTTTGAATTCAGAGTTTCCTTCTCTTAGATGAGTTGCCGACCAAGGTTAACGAGTCTCATCCACCCTTACTATACTATTCACTGATTCATTAGGCATTAGGCTTAGGCAAGGTTTAGGTCTGTGACTAGCGAGTGAAAGTTTTACTGAACTTTGTCTAGACTTCTACTTCTAATGTCTAAAGTCTAATGGGCCTAGTAGTAGCCCGTAGTAATTTTTAGTTAGGCTAAGGTCATATAATATTAATTATATTATATTTTATAAATATGATATTATTATAATTAATATTAAATTATTATATGACAATTTGACAATGACTCAATGACAGTCTTTACTCTTTACTTTATGACATGAGTATGATTTGGAATTAACTGCGAAAAACATACCGTGAAGGGAATCTGATATCGTGGGGGACCTGATATCATAGTAGCTTTCTGTGTGATGTTGGAACGCAATGTTGGAACAACTTTGTTCAAGGTACATCTCAGAACTCCAGACATTATTAGATCTTTCGTAAATATTACAATAGTAACTTACGAGGTCAAAAGAAATGACTTGTAAGGTGAACGCCTATTAACCAGGTAAGGAAACAAATTCAATTTTGTAGACGCAGATAATTTTAAATTTTAAAAAAATATACTAATATGGCATTGATAAAAAGTGAGTGTATTCAGCCTCATATTTTAAAATTTAATATAAAATAAAATGACTTTCAAACTAAAATCTACACATTTTTTAATAAATATTTTCTAACATGATATTTTAAGTGAACTACTCATTCTTTGAACCGTCTACGCTTTAAAAATCTGGTAAGGTAGAGCCAATTCATGATTAAAGATGGCTCCCCATCTTCGCTAAATTGTATATACACTACGACTTCAGAGATATAAATTAAGCCTTCGCGTTTTGTTAATTATTTTTTAATTTTATTGATTTGAGACTGTTATTATGGATTGACAATTATTAGTAAGGAAAGCGCTGTTGTTTTTTTTTGTAATGAATTTTCATTGAATCACTCAACCTTTGCCTTTATTATTATTTATGTTTGTGAGTTCAATTCAATTGAGTGAGTTGTTTTGAACTATTGAAGGCAGGCCTACTTCGTTACTGTTCCTGGCCTACTCTACCAACTAAACTGTAAACTCAATAGCTACCAGTCTACTAAATTGAGTACCAAACGAACTGAGCCTGGTCATTTGTGACATTGAGGACCTGAGTATATCATTTGACATTTGATTTAATTTTTACTGAACTGGCAAATTTACAAAATGAGGACAACATAATTATAATTATACTCTAGTTCTAGTTGTCTAGTTAGGCCTATTTATAATTTAAGTTTTTAATTTGAAGAATATGAGGTAGGCCTTGGAGGCCACGTGAAACTTTGCCATACTAGAGTGAGGTAGTATTTAGGATAGTCCGTTGGCGTAAAACAGTAGACCTAGGAAGGCTTTATTATTAACATTCACATACCGGCAATCCTCCGAAGTCCGGTCCCAAATTATTTCCAATGATTACTCCTTACTTAAAAGTCTAAGGCATCATTTTGTTTTGAAATTCATGTTTGGCGTTGGATGGAGATTGTTTGCCGTAGATGCCCACATACACGAGCGCATTATCACTAATCGTGTATTACCAGGGACAACTATCGTCACATACGTTTGGCGAGGATATGAACATGTCACTCATCTCAACAACGTGATTTATGCTCACCCAGTCATTGAGCACGCGCATGAATTTGTTGATCCAGTAGACCAGGACAACCAGGCATAAACTATTGAAGGACTTATGGTGCAAGCGAAACGTAAACTCCGCTATTAGAGTGGTACTAGTCGCGGTCTGTTTGCCAGCGTCATGGGGGCCTTTCAATGGCGCAACAGTCATAAGCAGAACATTTTCGGCTGCTATTTGCAAATGCTATGCGCCACATACAACATTTAGTATTTACTGACTGATTTGTAATTTCCCGTTATTTGCTAAAGCTATGACTGATATTTATTCTGTTTTCTAACAATACACACTGTGCATTGCAATTTTTTTCATACGAAATAATTGGGACTGGACTTCGGAGGATTGCCCACATACCTAATAATTTAATAATTTTTTTTTTTTGCTGGCATCCGTCCGTCACAATGTGACGATGGAGTGGGCTTCGGAGGACGAAATCCACATGGCCTGGGATTATACTTCAAGGATTATAGGCTGGTTCCCAACAGCAAATCGCCTCTCTCCACGCCGCTGGGTAACTCAAGGGAACATCAATGGATGATACAGCTTGGCACCAGAGACGTCGCAGGAGTTGCCGGAATGTTTCATTGTATCAATGTTATCCGCCTTTCGGGACTCCATCCCCGGGAATTTGATAATAATAATAAAATAATTAACTTAATTTGAAATATATAGTCTAAATCAGGGGTCATAAAACTTTTTAAACGGGGCCAGTTCACTGTCCCTCAGACACTGATGGGGGCAAGACTAGCCTATAGTGGCTATAATTTATAACTATAATATAGTCGGAAAAAATATGAAGAACAAATTCCTGGGCTATGCACACTGCTCATATTCATATATCTAATTTATAGTACATGAAATGCTTTCACATGCATACCCGTATCTCAAATGAGCATCCAGTGACATAGCTAATGCTGTCAGGGGAAGGCCAAGCTTTTTGATGCCCCCACCCTCCCTTTACACAAAAAAAAAACACCTCAGCAGTTGGTCAAAATTGCCATCCTTCAATAAAAAGAAGAAAAAAAGTGCTGGCCCGTGCCTACTCTCCCCTCCACACCTTCCTTCCTTTACAGCCTTGAGCTTTCCCCGAAGTTGCACATTGACTACCTGGGTATCTGTACAGTTGCCAGGTTAAATACCCCTGATGGGCTGAATTTCACCCATGGGCCCTAGTTTGATTAACCCTTTGTTTAAATTATAAGTTAATCGTGTTTGATTGTTATGCTGTATTACGGCTCTACCTTATGTTACTATCGTTAGTTTGATTATGACAGTAGGCCTAGGCCTAATATTTTTATTTATGCTAGTCAAATTAGGACATAGATTTCAATGATTTATTTTAATTTTTTTTTTTTTAATTGTCAACATTCAAGATACAGGGTATTTATACATTTTAATATTCATACTTAAATTTCATGAAATAGAATTATGTTTATTCTGTAAAAAATTTGCTATTAAAATTTTTTATTAAAAAATTTGCTCCAAAAGTTTTGCTTTATACATATATGAATTATTTTTGTGGCTGTTACAGGTGCTGCAAGACAAACAAATAATTGCTGCTGAAATTCACCTGTCACTTGAGTAAGGTACAGCATACAATGGGAGCGCAAGCTTCTGTTCCTGATAAAATTCAGGCAGCATCCCGCTCCACGTTTGCACGTTTGTCTCAAGCATACACCGTCTCGGATAATGATCAGGTTTGCAAAGAGAAAAGGAAGAAAGCTGCTTCAAAGTTTGCAACCCTTCGTAAAAAGCTTGTGCGTGCTCGCAGACAGAGTAAATCGTTTGATCATGCCAAGGCAATGAGAGAATTGTTGTCAACTTGGCCTATTGACGATGTCAGGATTCTTGTTCAGGAATATGAAGCGTCGGTTGCTTTAAAAGAATTGTCATTTGCGGCCAGCATGGCCAGACCACCAGCTCATTCTCTCCGATATGATCTCTCACGTCTCTATGACTGTAAATTCTGCACTGATGTTGATCTCATTTTCAAGAACAATTGTTTTCCTGTGCATCGAGCTATTCTTTCAGTGAGGAGCCCGTATTTCAAAAAACTTTTGGCACAACATCCAGAATATGGGGCTCAAGTTCATGTCAAGCTGAAAACGCCTGGTGTTGATGCCGAACTATTTTCAGCTCTGCTCAGGTATTTATATTCAGATGAGCTGCCTAAAGAAAGTTTGGAACACAGTGACCTCTTGGGAGAGCTTGCTGGTGAATTCGGTGTTCCTAATGCTCTTGAGCATGATATGAAACAGCTTTTAGACAGTGGTGAGCTTAGTGATGCAATACTTGTGTTTTCTACTGATTCAGATAATGTTGAGGCCTCAAGCTGTCATCATGTTAATGGCCCATGTCATTGTATGGCTCAGAGCGCTTATGGACCACAAAAGACATCTAGATTTGAATTCCCATGTCATAGGGCCATTATTGCTTCAAGGTCACCATTTTTCAGGAACTTAATAAACCGTCGAGCTAAATCGGGAGAGGAATTAACAGAGAGAACTTTAAGAACACCTTCAAGAATTATTCTTGATGAATCTGTGATACCTAGACGTTATGCTCGTGTTCTTTTGACAGCATTATATCAGGATACTGTGGACATGGGGTGTGTGTTGAGGGGTAGCCCTAGCATGTGTAGTTTGAGTGAAATTCAAGCAATGGTCTCTACAGGACGATGTCAAATGACTGTTGTAGATGAAGCAATGGAGTTGTACCAAATAGGCCAGTTTCTGGATACACAGATAATATCCCAAGGTATTTTATTTACAGTAACAGAAATGTTTCATTAGCAAAAAAGAAAAAGTGAATATGGCTAGATATAATAAAGTATAACATTAAAGCTTTTAGACATGTAAATGAAGGATTAAATCATTTATGTCCAATAACTATAGGTAAATAAAGTTTTATTTCAACACACCCCATTTTTATAAAGAATTTAAGTTTATTTTTTTTTTTAAATATGCTATTCTGTCAGATTTTTTTATCTATTTTAGAACAAACATAATAATATGTCATTGGGCAAGCCAATGGCAAATATAAGTTGTGCTTATTCATTCTCCACACACCTTGTCTTACTATAAACAGGCTGTGAAGATATTATCATTGACAAGCTGACAGCTGATACTCTAATGAGTGTTCTCAGTTGGAGTGCAGAACCCCATGGTTCGCAGTGGGTACATCGTCAGGCTATGTCATTTTTAACTGAAGAATTTTCACAGGTATATCTCCTACTTAATTTTGTCCAGACATTTGTATTTCTTTTTTTCTCACTATGCAATCCAGCCAGTTTAAGCGTAGCCCACATACTATTCTACTGGTAATAATAATATCTACAAATATATCAGGCATGTAATTGGAATGTATTTGGCTCTTTGGTGATAATGAGCACTTTGCAAGTTTGCCCCCATTCAATTATATTTTTGAAATGTTTCATTGTTAAATTATAATTTGTCAGTTCTGATTTAAAATTGATTTCACATATCAGTGGTTGCCATCTGCAATTCATTCCTTGGTGTAGCTCCAGAACAATGTTTAAATGTTGTTCTTTTAATGTAATGTTTAGTGCTCTTATAAGATTAAGATAAGAACTCTTGGCAATTTGAATAGATTTTGACATGACATGCCTGCAAAATATCAATACTTCCATGAATATGTTATATGCCTCCATGCAGCCTACTAGTTTGCCTCCACTGTCATATATTATGAATGAAAATAGTCTTTTGTTTATTAAAAAATGCTAGCTTGGAGATTAGCTTGTTTTCTATCTTACACAAAGCTATATTGCATAAATTAAAACTAATGCTAATATTTCAACTGAAACTATATTTTCCTTGCAGATTGCCAATGTACCTGTTCTGTTAGAAATGAGTAAAGACTTCCTAAAATATGTGGTGTCATCTGACTATTTACAGGTTCGAATTACAAATTAAAATTCTTTGATCTTCTTTACTTCTTAGAAATCAATATGTTGAAAAATAAATGTTTGGGAAAACATGGTTTATTTGAGCTACATAATTATGATTAAAGTTCATGTTAACAATATAACTAAACTTTATTTTGTGTAACTTCTTTTAACATTTTTTTTTTAAATTTATCTTTGGAACATTTTTTGCAGCTAATTTGCATCTGATAAAACTATTTTCAGGATTTAATGCAATAATTTATCAACCACATTACCATAGATAGTTGCATACATATATATATATATATTTATCAATCATTATTCATTACAGTGCGCAGAGCAAGATGTTTTAGCAAGTGTGATCAGGTGGGGGGAGCACCAGCTTACTAAAAGAATAGAAGAAAGAGGTGGGTTCTTCCAGGGAACAAAACAATTAACTTTTTGTATCTTTATATTAAGTCTGTTTTTGAAAATTCTATTTTGCCTAACTGGAGCGAAGTTGATCTTTTAAATTATTTCATGGGTACCTGTACATTTCTTTCTTAACTGGTAGAAAAAGCTGGTATTGTCATAAATGTATTTTCAGTATGGTTTAAGTTCTTTTTATTATTCAGCAAAATTAATTATTTTCAGGCAAGACATGTAATGATTGTTATTCATACTGAAGATTCGGGGAAATTCATTTTCTAATGATACTTGTAGTTACAAAAATATCCATTCTTTTAAGCTGGTTTTATGTTTTAGATGGGGAATTTACTGGTTACATTCAAATAAAAACTGGCATCATTTTATACTATATGATTTAGTCACAATTGTCAAGAAGCTTCAAAATCTATTAATTTTTCAGAGCCCAACCTTCTGTCTCACACGGCCCACAGTGTTACAAAGAAAGGTGTAAAGAAAAGGGACCTTAGCGATGTTGAACTCAAAGAATTGCTCGCAGAACTTTTGCCTTTAGTGCGTATTGAACATATTTTGCCACCTACAAATGAAATTCTTACCAATGCAGTAAAGCGAGGACTTCTGGAGCCCATTTGCTCTCATCATGAAGATGTGTTATTGCACAGAATTGGAGCCTGGACAGGCATTACCAAGAGTGGTGTTTTCCTCAAGCCAAGATTATTTCTGCCTTACTACGAAGAAGCTAAGGTTAGATAATTGTCTGACAATTTGAAGAGATAAAATATATGATTCGCTAATGTCAATAAAATATGCTTTTATGAATTCTTTAATTAAAAATGCTATTTAAAAGCAATAGCTTATTTTCTTTATCTTTTTTTATTTAATTTATTTGTATTGTATTTTGTTTAAATATGGATTTTTTATTTGCAATTATTATTAAGTTCATTTTAAAACATCAGATTTTAGGTGCAGTAAAGAAATAAAACTAATTCTTGATGCTTGTTAAATCTTTTCCAGAATTTCTTGGAAGAGCTTTTATCACAGGGTCATGATTCAGGGAGCAAAGTTAGAGCAATACACCTTTCAGCAATCCCTGATACATTATATATGCTGGATGACCAGGAGGCCTCACTGCCTTTAACTTATTCAGGGTCACCTGTGTCAACTGTAGATATAATAGCAGGAACAATTCCAGGTGAGAATATGGAAAAAATTATTCTACAACTTCTGTTTCGGATCCCAACAAAAATGTCTTTCAGTTTGGTATTTTTCCTTTCTGTTAATGTTTGTAAATTTCTTCTGCAACTCAAGTTTTGTAGAAAAAAAAAAAAGAAATAAAAAAAAACAAGCATGTAAATACTTTTTAAAAATATTTTTTTAAAATTAATTTTAGTAAAGAAGATGATTGTTAAATATGCCATTGATGAATAAATGTTCTTGCCAGTCCCTGACAAAGCTACATTTGCCAAGATGTTGGAGAGAGAACAGGAACTTCAACTGTCTAAATCAGCCCAGCAAGCCATATCCCTTTCGTGCATAGAAAAGAGATCTATCATCAAAAATGTATCAATACTTATACAGTTACGTGTGGTGAGAGAGTTTGGTCTGCCTGACAGTGCCATGGAAGTTCTGCAGAACAGTCAGTATTACTACACAAACAGCAGTCACCATTGTCGCCATTTGCACCACCACTGCCCTCAAAATCAGCATCTCAATCAGCAGCGGCAGTACCACTTATCAAGGAATTCCATTGGCAATGTGCCATCCTCGTTACCATATCGTGATATTGAGGTAGTAACCTATTTTAATACTGTATATTTAAAGTAATAGGGACGTTACAGTTTTGGATACTTTTTATCTCTGCCTTTTAATTCCCAATGTTGAGGTTCATATCTGAAAGATTGTGTGTAAATTTTTGTTGAAAGATTTTGATTGTTCCTCAATTTGTTATTGTAATCTAAAAATAATAAACGATGGAATCACCAGTAAATTACAGTCATGAATGTGTTAACACTACCGTGGGTGTAATAAAAGTAGTGCTTAGGTTCTTAAGGTTATGTTAATATATTAAATTGATTGACACTAATTGTGGGGGCTACATCAAACTGTTTGGTTTTTTTTGCTGACATCTGTCCGTCACAATGTGACGATGGTGACATCAAACTGTTGTAATGCAAAATAATATTAATCTTTTTTATTTAACAGAGAGATCTTTTTTCTGAGCGTGCCCTAAGAGAAGTAATGCCTGACATAGCCTTGGCTTCAAGCACTCTGTCACAGATCCATGTCTATGATGAAACCTTGGAACTTGACATTGGTGACCGAAGTAATGAGAGGCATGCCACACTGTATATTTAATTCAAACACTGAACTCTTCATCTCAAATACGCACATGAGCTGTGATGGATCATTCACTGTTGCACCAGAAAATGCCTTAAATAACTTCCAATGATCCTCTCAAGGCTACTTTACAAGAAAACTGTCATTTCTACACACTTGGTAAAGAATGTGTTATTATTTCTATATGGGCACTTGAAACTATTCTCAATTGTTTAAAATTTCACATACAAAAGTTAATATCACCAATTCTTAGATTTAAGTGTATGAGTAGGTGTGTCTTTTTTAAATACATTTTTCCCCATTACAGTATTTCAGGAGAACGTTTAGAACACTGGTAACAAGTCTGTGTTTTTAAAATAAATGGGTCACTAGAATCTCTCACTGAATTGTTACGTAAAGATTGGATATACCACTTTACCTCCTTAGCAAAATATTTTTGGTTCTTCCTTTGCTGAAAAGATATGTTTGTAATTCTCTGTGTTTTTTTTTTTTAACTCAAAATGAAAATATTTAATTTGAAGAAATAAAGTTACTTATACTCTTTCACTTTTATTTTGTATGCTTTTTACTTTACATTTATATCACAACTCTGCATTTTTTTAGAGCTGATGATCGATTTTTATCTTAAGTACAAAATGCCTGCTCATCACAATTTAAAATGTTTTGGACTAGGCAATAATTTACTTTGACTTCATGGTAGTCCTTTAAATTAAGAGGTACATTATCTTTAACTTTACTGACATCTTGACAAATATTTTTTACTACTACTAACATTATTTACACATTTTTTAACGAACTAAATTTGTTATGAAAATAAATCAATAAAGAGCAATTATATTCATTATTTCTTTCTTCCAATGTTGTTTGTGATCTCGTTTACTCAAATTCTCATTGGTGCTTTTACTTTTATATAAAAGAAAAATAACTTCTTAGTAGAATTATATTAGTTTAAAACAGTTGTATTGAACACAGCATTATGTTTAACAGTTATGATGTACTCTAAAGAAAAATATACATCTAATGCACACTTTTAACATGAAAATGATTGTGGCAATAAGACATTTTTTTTAAAAATTATAATAAATAAAAAAATTTGTTAAGCAGAAAAACAGAGTGACAGACATTTTAATATGCTGAACATAAATTGCATAACTCTGTTCAGGCAAGTTTTTTTGTTTCTTTTTGTGGAAGTGAAATCACTTGATATGGTTAAAAATGTGTTCATTGTTTATATTGTATTTGTAATATTGTGATTATTGCTGTCTACTGGTCTTGCTTTAAGTATATTTGAACAAAAGTGAGTGACCAGGGTATTTATTATTCATTCAATTTTGTTTATAAACCTGTATCATTTACTGTGATTTGTATAGATGGATAACTCAGACCAGCATGTTGAGTTCAAGATGCATTTTATTTTGTAGGCATAGAAATCATCAGCTGGTGGATTAAAAGTTTTACTTGCTAGGGTTGGAATTATTTACTGTATTCAGTTTAATCAATTCCGTTGTCACTGTACTAGTTTTCAAAATGTGCAAGGCTTAGGTATCCATGACAACTTCCAAGCCACAGAAAATTGTACAAACATCAGTACCTGCCACTATCCACCCTATATAACATCAATACAATTTAGCATTGGTTGGATATATGGAGGGCCATCTGGAGTTATTATAAATTATGCACCTCTTCCCATATTTTACACGCACATTGGGGAACCTTGTTGCCCCAGCTTGTACTGTATATTAATTAGTAAAGAATGTAAAGGCTTTTTGTCAAATTAAGATCTAAACATTGGGAATAAATCTTTTAAATCAAATAAAGCATTTTTATTGTTATGATTACAATTTTACTTCTTAAAAACTAAACTTAAACCCTAGCAAGATGAAAAGCTATCAATTTTTCTTTGCAATTTTGAAAATTTAACTGTTGGTAAATTGCATTGGTACCTAATCTGACCACCATGTAGCAACTAAATTAAAAACTGATTCATTGAATGTCTAAAGATCAAATTTGTATACTGCAAAATTTCCTACATTGTATTGTATTTACTTATTCAGTACGTTTTTTAAAGCATACTTTGTATTCCCCACTGTGTGGGAAATTTTGTCTGGCATATTTTTTAATGGAAATTTGGATTTAAAGTGTTATCATATTGGCAGCAAGCCATTTATCCAAATGCCTAGAATGTACATTGTTAAAAAAATTTTGCTGGTTTATACATTCAAGTTAAGTCTATCACTAAAATTTGTTACAGATTGTACATTAATCTTTTCAATGAGAATTGTGCCATTTTGAGGTATTGTTAATGGTCACCATTTTCTTATCGCTCACACACATTCTGGACAGGTCCAAGTGTCATGTTACATCATTTTAATTTATCTGATGATGTAAGCTAATAATTGCATGTTTGATCTATTTAAATATTAATGTAGCCTGACCACTTCCTGTAGATATTGAAAGGTAAACAAGTGGCATGTAGTTTATTTTAAAGATAGCGCTTCACTTTTAATGGTATATCCAGATCATCTGGTATTTTAAAGTAATGTGCTACTAATGACATGACATGTATTCTCTCTTGTCAAGTCCTAACTTAAAAGGTGTTTTACTTTTTGGTTTTATGCAGTTATATGATTTTGTGCAAGAGAAAATATTCTGGTGATACTTTGTTTCTGAAATAAAATGGCAGTTAATTTGAGTACCTTTTGATTTGATTGTATAAATAATGTTTAGAAGCAAATGTGTGTAGTTAGAAACAAATATCCAAAGCATGTTAAATCAACTAATTTTAACGTAACATTATTTAATCCAAATGCTCATAATCTATTTCAGCCTTAATACCCTATGAATTGTGAACTGTGCTAAGCATATAATATTTAAGTTAACACTAGTAATAGAAATCTTGATAGTTTTCTAATAATGCAAGGGGGGGGGGGGAATATATTTCCTCTCCTTTCCAAATTATCTCTTAGGCACTACTACCTCTTCTTTTTTTTAACCCAGCACCTACACCTAATATTTTTGTGAAGTTTCAGCAGTATTTTTCCCTCTTCCATTAATAATTAGTTCATTTTAAAGTTATACTCTCTTTTATTCAAATTTTAACATACACACATGACTAGCAAGCTGCATTAAATCATGCTCATAATTGTGACTTCTTGGGTTCATGAACCATGTCTATTTCCAAACTATATTTTATATAATTTGGGTGAAAAGGGCAATTTGTACGAGTTGCATACATGGATCATATTTATAATTTTTACAGGAGGATGTTATAAGATGACAAAATTATTTACACTGAGCACATTTATAGAACAAAAGAAAGACAGGCTTTAAATGTCTTAGTTGTTCAAGCCTTTTCCCAGTTACACAGCACCAATGAAATAGAAAACTTTTCTGCCTCTCCCTTACCTAATTAATAAATAAGGCTAAATAAATGCTTAAATAGTAAACTCCTCTATTGCAGGTCACTAAATTGAATGTATTTACTTTAACCTTACAATAAAATGATGAAAAAAGTCAAGCATGGTCACAAATCATAAGTTTCAAAAGGCTACTTCATATTTCTTTAAACAGGATGGGATTACCAAATTTTATTATCCAAGTAAGGATGCCAAACAATTTCAACAAATATTTTACTTATAAATACATCAATATTGCAGCAAGAATATCCACCGTTTTTAAGTTAGCAACTGTTTAAAAAAACATGATTTGCATTTTATTAGTTACACAAATAAAGTTAGAAATACTTAGCACATTATATACTGTTTTCCCCCACTTTTTAAATTGGTATTCATCATTTAATTGGAAAGGTATTATTGATAGCTAAGTAACTTTTTTTGACCAATATATATTTTCATTAGAATATGATAATTTAACTTAGGAACAAATAATGTTTTCTTTCAGATCACAGGATTGTTGTGAAAAGTTTTACATATTTTAAAATAACTTAAGGGGAAAAAAAAGTAAACATGCTGCCGATGTGGAGAATACTGCTTTATAATATCAATGGCTGTATCATGACAGATAATATGGGCACATTAAGGAAACAGCCCATTAAAAGAAATGTTAAATGCCATTTAGGTAAATATCATAGACGAGTCAACCTGTGGATCCAGCATTATTTCGGAATTTATTTTTTGGTTCATTATGCCAGTTAATACAGGTGGCAGACCAATAATTTGGTGAATAACCCAAACCTAAGGGCAATATTTAGAATCAATCAAAACATGGTAATAAGGCGTACAGATTGCAATCAGGTTTTGTTTTGTTGCATCCTTCTTTCTGGTTTTCCAATAATTTGTTTTGCTTATTTCCAAAATCAATGAAATATTAAAAAAAAAATTCAAAGCACTCTAAATTTAAATCTCACACATTTCTTATTTCAATTATTAATATTAAGATAAATTGAACATGAAATTTCATTAAAAGTAATCATGAAATAAGTACCTTATTTAACATATTAAGTAAGCACTGGCCTACATGGATAGAGATTCAAACTGTTTAAGCAAAAAAATTATAAATATATTTCAGGAATAAATCATAATATGTGGAGAAATTCAAGCAGAAAGCTTTATTGCTACTTTATAAAGAAATTGTTTAAAATGTAATGAGAACCAGTGCTACAAAATTTACTAACATCTTTGCAGAAAAGTGACAAATCTGAATGATAAAAAAACATGTTAAAAAGTAATAGTCCCAAATTTTTTTTAAAAACATGCTCGACATTCACAGTAGTATTGCAATAAAAGTTGAGTTTCAACTACCTTTTCCATGGTAAGAATGCCATATGGGAACCAATAATTTATTAACTGATGTATCAAAAGGTAAATTTGAGACTTTTAACAAAACAGGGACTATTTAAAAAAGCTGTAAAATATATTTCAGAATTATTTAGTTTCCATTGTTTTAATGCTGGAGAGAGAGACCATAGGCACAACAGTTTATATAAGCCCAGCTTGACATAAGAACATACTGGATTAAAATAATTTACAAAGGCTAATAATACAGAATCCCCACCTTTTCACTTGTAATGGATGGGTGCACAAAAAAACATAATATTAAAAGAGCAGCAGATTTCCAGTGAATTCTCATGTAAAAAAAGTTAACAGCAATGTAAGTTTATGGGGTACCTCTATGTTAAAGCTGTATAAGTACCAGGTACTTGACAATTTCACAGTCATGTAGCCATTTTTGAACAGCACCTTTGAATTTGTGACAAATTAATAATGTCCGTTTCCTTAAAAGGCTAGCTAACCATCACTTCGTTGCAGTCTCAGACATATCCTGGTAATACAAGTAGTTGATGAGCATTTTTGGCAAGGGCAGAGAGTCAATCTGACCTGTGACCATCTCTTTACGTATGACCTGCCGGCTCAGCTGCAGGAGACTTGGCACACGTATGGAGGCTTTTAAAAATATCACATCTCCACTGCGGCACCTGAAAAAAAAAAGTCAATTTTTCAATAAAAGCAAAGTTTGTGGTCTTATATATATTTATTCCTATTGCAAAATATCCTTGGTGACCGTGACATATTTTTACCAAAAAAATGTATTACCAGACTTCAAGAGGAAAGAGATTTGATCAATTCTTCTAGCATTGAACTAAGTAATAGTGGCCTATTATTAAATATCTCAACCATTTTAACATCAAAGAAAAAGCTGCAATCACTAAAAGATTTGTTGAAGAGCTTGATCCAGCCATTTCAGATTGATGAAATTAAATTTTGTCTGTTTGTATATTCCTAAACATAGATGAAATTGTGTGTAATTTGGTTAATGTAGAAACATTTGTCATTTAAATAGATAAAAACTATTTTTTGGTCGAACGTGCTCTGAGGCATACGAAACTTGATGATCCTTGCAAGAAACTAGTATGAATTCTAATTTACTGCTCATGAAAACATTGTAATTATATTTACCCCACTGAGAGAGTTTGACCATATGAAGAAAATCTGCATGAAATTGCATCCACTACTGTGGAAATGACAAGTGGGTCACCCATATAACCAAGATTCCAGAAACGTACAAAGCTGAAATGTAAAAATAAAGGAACATTTATATGTAAGCTTTAGAAGTTTTTTAAGAAATTAACAATAATGCAAAATTTTAAATTAACAATTTAAGGTTTGTATTTTTTGCGACCACCCTTTTTAAATACCAGGTTTAGCTAAGGGAAAACTATTTCACTTCATATTAAAAATTTAAAAAAACTAAGGCGACTACTAAACAATAATTGGATTTCTGATTATTGATTTCGAAAACTATTATCGGTTATTTTACACAAATATTTAAATTTATTTATTTGTATCATTGTAATTGTAAATGTTTATTACAAAAATCCCAGGATTTTAAAAATTGTTTGATATAGCCCCTATCTGTTTTTGCCTCATTGGTCTCGATGTCCTAGCTACATTATTGGTAACAATATAGACCAATGATAGAAAATTTTTTAACATAAACAATTAGGCTCAAAGAGGTGCATTAATTTATGCCATGTGAGCAATATTCAATTTTAAATCTCAATATATAGAACCAAATCAAAACATATGAATGGCAAAAAGGTCCCTTCTTTTTTCTTACTGAAAGGATTTGCTTTAAATTACCTCAAAAAACGAATTTAAAAAGTTTAAAAAAAATTAAGTTACTAATTAAAAATATGGAGTACCAACTCCGATTTCCTAACAATGCATCGTTGCAAATCTGATAGTTAAGTTCCTCATTTAAGGACATCAGTTTATAATCAGATAAGTAAATTGATTGTCCTTTGCCTAAAGAAAGAAAAACAATATTAACATCCCTAACATTTAGTTATTGGTGTGAATTTTGTTTAAATTATTAAAAGACAGGAGTTAACTAACCCATCATCACAGACAGAAGCAAGAGTTAAACCATCATTATTAAATGTAACACTGCGAACATAATGGTCATTAGCACCACCAGCAAAGATAAGCCTTGGACTTGGATGCAAATGGCTGAAAGAAAAATATAAAATCTTTTTAATCCTGCAAAAAAGTGCTAGACTAACAAATGCTATTTGAGTCATATTAGAGTTTTTAAAGATAACTTCAATTACTTTCAAATAGTACTTATATGTAAATTAAAGAGGATTACTATGCAAAAATAAACTATCAACACAAGACATATTTTAAAAATATCTTTTAAAAATAAAGAACAATTTACATTGACAATGAAAAATTTACAATAGCAAGAGGCACCATTGTTTTTATCTCAAAATATGTGGTAACCAGGGAAAAATCTAGTACCTCACATAGAAGAATAAAATCCTTTAAAAGATAACGGATCAAGTTAGGTTAGGGTTAGGGTAGAAGAAAAATAAAAAGAATAAAAGAATTTAGTGCACTATTAAAATATTAAATAGCATTAGTTTGGAAATAAATTTCAATCATTTTTATTTAATTTCTTCATTTGATTTAAATACATTGTAACTATTAAAATGGAATGATATTCTGAAAGGCACCTAAACAATTATATATTATCATGACATTACTTTAATATTAAATTGTATGAATGCATCTGATATGCAATTCTTAGGTGTTAAAACATTATTCCCATCATATATAGACTACCCAAACTAAGACTAAAGTAACATCAATTTCAGATTTCACTAATAAATCACTAATAAATCACTAATCTGTTTGAAAACGTAATCCATTTTTTGGTGTGCTTACTATTTAAAATTCCCTGGCCACCACACATAATAACTTTCATGACATTGCAACTAACTCTCTGTCCCTTTAATACAGAGTCTATCATGTGATGCCCACTTCTTCCTTCAAGTGTCGGCAGCAGCATCTCCTTTGATGTACCCAAAAATTCAGCTGCCAAACTACTGAGGAGCTGATGAAATGTCAATGTGCATGAGAAAACCCTTCAGAGCCCACTGAAATCATTTTCAAATATAAGTGAAATAAGAGTTCACTGTAAAAAAAAAGAAGTTATATTTAGAACTTATTTCTGATTAAATTTTACTGGTAATAAGAAGGGTTTTCTCCTCAATGTAAAAAAATGAGATAAGAGATCCTTTAACATCAATTTTATATTAACAAGGCTTTATTGTTAAAAAAAAGTTCTTTCTCCTTGGAATGACTTTATGCCATATTCTTCTAAAAGAATTAAAGATACAAACTTTTTATCAGAAAATCTAGTCACTATAAAAATTTTAATTCAGTATACTTCAGATCTACCAATGATGTTTTAAGAAATTCTGAGTCTGGATTGGGTGTAAGAGAATGTATTATTACATAATATTCACACAGTTTATACTATTATATATAAAATTTTGTATTCTCATTCTAGTTCCATCCACTGAAATTGAAAATCTTTTTACTTTTAATCCTAACCTCGAAATATAAGCTACACGTTTTCTACTACTGAGTACCAGATATGGAAAAGCTTGAAATTTGAAATATAGAATGACAGATTTTTTGGCTGAAAGCATTCCTTCTTTGAGCAGAACCTTGCTTAAAAATAAATTTTTAATTGCAACTATTAAAATACCCTTGTGGCGGATACTGTATAACAAATTCATTTCTCAAGATTGTAGAGAACTGAGTGAATAAAGAGCAAGAGTGGCATCTCTCATGTCAACTTAAAGGGTTGTAAACTAAAGCTTTCCTGAGATTTTTAGTATATAGATTTTCTGATTGGAGATTGTGTACACATTACCAAAATTAAATACTGCATTTTTAACAACATTTAAATATTTACTCTGCATATTGTGTTTCAAACTCAATTTTAAAGTAGTTCCCATTTTAAAAAAAATTATTATGAATAGAATTACTTTAAGAAAATTAAAATAACACAGTTGCAGTTATTATAGCGGCATGAGAAGTTTGAACTTACAGGCTTTGAAAAGTAAAAACTGTTAAGGTAAGGGACATGAGTTATTAGATGACATAAAAAACTAACTAGTTGTGCACAATCTGTAGTGCAATGAAAGTCATCATACAAGATGAAACAAAGACAACGAAGAGTTAAAGAAAAATTAGCTAAGGTACATATTTTTTTTTTTAATCAGGTGAAGTTGAACCACAGTTAAAAAGTTTTCAAAGTCTTTAAACAGTATGTTCAACTAAAGGAAATTCATTTAACTCTTTGTCAATACTCATAACACTTGGCTAATGACTTCTATTGCTGCCCACAGATACTACTAACCAGCTAAGTGCTATTTCTTATTTTTATACCGTTTTTTCTGTTGTTTTGTTCGCTGACGAAGGCTTTCTGCCAACACGTTCGCTGTTTTGTTGCGTTTATTTTTTCAGGTTTAACCCTACTCTGTTTTACTCATTTTATTTTGGCTAATGACTTAATCTTACAAAAAGCCTATACATGTTTTATAGTTCATTCTTTGCTTGGTTTTATGAAATATATCAATATTTCAAGTGTTTTCGATTTTTTTAAAAATTTAATTAAAAACTGCACTTACCCCAAAGTTCTAAGCCTCAGCTGGCGGTATGCGTCCCATATAATGATCTTTGTGTCATAAGATGCTGTGGCCAGAAGAGCTGAGTCTGGGCTAAAGTCACAAGAGATTACTTCATTGCTATGTCCTTCAAGTCTGTATGGAAGTGCTTTCAGCTTTGGGTTAACCCACAGGTATACCTAAAATAAGTTTTAAAAAGTGTCATAAGAGTAGGGCAGAGGATTGTAAAAAAAATATTTATAAGCGGATCTTAGTGACTTTAGAAAATGAGTTTAGAGATTTATAATGTATTAGCTATTTATAATCCCTCAATCTACTGAAAAATATTTTAATATTTTACAATCAAATAAACAAACCAATTTGCAACTCCCCACTGCGGCAATAAATTGGCAATTTGGTGAGAAACGACATCCATAAAACATTGTTGGTGGAGATTTGAATGTACTGTACATATTTCCCTCATTGTGCAGGTCCCACAGTTTGATTGTTCCATCACGAGATGCAGAGATTAGCTGAAGGCTACCATCTTTTGTAAAATCTAGACAGCGAACTGTATCACGATGGTCGAGGAGCTCTATCATTAGGTTGCCTGTAGAATTTTTAAAAAAGCATGAAAAAAATAAAAATTAACTAAGATCAAAATGATTTCAAAATCCAATCAAAACCAGGAATGGGTGAAATGTTTATATCAAGTATCATCACAAAACTGTTCCTCCTCCTGTATCACAGCAAGTTCTATAAAACTGGAGGGGAAAAAATGTACTGAAGTATTTATTATCCCCTCAAGTAACAATTAAATAAAATGTAAAAAAAAATTAATTTAATTTTGTTTAATGTAGGATTAATTATTTGAGTAAATATGGCCCTAGATTGGCAATACATATTAAAATAATGGGAAATATTAAATCTTTTAAGCAGTTCAAGTTCACTAAGTTCCCTTAAATTCTTTCAACTTAATATACATTTAATGCTGATTGAAATCCCTATTACATTCAATCAGTACTCAGGTGGCGACTTTATCCAAGGAAATTTTTCATCGATCTCCCGACTTTTTACTTTAAAAATCATACATCACAAATAATGTGATCAAACACGGATACAAGATATATACTTGGGACGTAAACCCACAAAAAACTTCAAGAACTATTTATTGAAATAACATCTGAAAATGTCTACATAAGTTGTAAAGGAGATTTTTTATTTCAGAATCCATCTTTCACAGCTCAAATTGTCGTTATAAAATTTTTGATGATGTTAAACACAAATATTTTGAATACAATATTTTTAAAAATCAGTTATTCTGAACAAATCCAGTTAATAGCTTTTCTTGTTAAAAAGTTCAAATTGTTTAATTATCTATTTGGCCATGTGCTGGGACAGTTTAAAAACCTTTGCTGTAAAGGATATTTTTAAAAAAAAGTATTTTTGATTACCAGATTGGCAGTTCCATAATTTAATTCTCCCACTTGCCAAACCAGTTGCCAAAATAAAATTTTGGTCAAATCTGCAATGCCTATAATATGGTGAGCTTTCCCCTTTTTGTGAAAATCCAGAGCCAAAGGAAAGTGCCCAAATATTTTCTGCACAATCAATAAGATGATACTTCCGTCCATTTAATCTTTCTTCATCTGTTGGACTATGACTGCAACAAAAAAAAATCAATTATGAAGTCAAGAAATACAATTGAAAATAAGCTATGAATGAAATTATGATACATTTCAATCACATCATATAAAAAAAAAATAATTTTTAAAACTTCACCACCTTTTGAAAAATCTGGAATGTTATAAACAACTTAATTTCACCCTTTAAATGTATACGACATTAGGAGATAACAATTTGTAGAGGTTCATGAATATGTATAATCCTGCTGTGTTAAAATATTTATATTTAATAAGAATAAAAATATGATTAAATGAAGAAAAATGTTCATAGTTGACAACATTGTATATTATTTGAAGCTGCAAATATTCCATTTATATTAAATGTAAGCATACCGTCGTTGTTTTTCATTATCCCATGGAATAATATGTAGCATATGATGACCACTTGACCAGGCAAAATAAGAACTGTCTTGGGCCCATGCACACACCCATGTCTCTCCGCCAGCTTTAGTGTAACTATCTCTAGTAATGGAAATCAAGTGCTCCACAACATTTGCTTGCTCTAAGGAAAAATGTTATTGTATTAGTGGTAAAATTATTTAAGTGTATTATTAAAAATTACTTATAGTGATAAATTATAACATTCAGAATTTAAAAAAAGGATTTGCTTTTTGTTTAATCCACAGTGATCTATGACTACTTCAGTTAATGTATATGGGCTGTGCCAAGATTTGGCAATCAAAAGCCACAATTCTCTAAGAATGTTAGCATGACAGACAACCCTTGGAAAAAGGATTATAATGAAAGCAAAATGGAAAAAAATTGTAAATAATGATAGTGATAACTGACTGACTTCGAATATCCTAGTGATGACATTTGTGCTTTTGAATAATAAAGAAATAACAAGATTTATCCCCTGTCCAAACTTTAATGAAAATTAGGTGCATGAAAGGAATGGCTCCGATGTTCAGACCTGGTTACACTGGAACTCCCAAAACAGTAAAATATAGTCTCAGTATAGTACTTAATTATCTCAAAATCAAACAATAAATAAACATACAGTATACAAAGACTATTCGCATCGTATGTCTAATAAAGGACATTTCTCAAAGTATGTTAATATATTTATATTAAGTGCATTATTGCAAATAAAAAGGTGCCCATCATTTGCCACTTTGATAGAAAAAGATGTGGTGGGGCAGTGAAAATTAAGAACACCCATCGAAGTCACTTTAGCAAAAGCAAGGGTGGGGAGAAATTCTATTCATAAAATCAAAATACAGTGATGCACTTTTGCGTATATTCGAACATAGTTTTACATCATTCCACAATTATCCATAATGGGTAAATTCAGAGAACGCGGCCCGCGTTTATTTCCATGCGCGCACTTTTACGTCTTAAATCAATCCCTAAGCATAACCTGAACACTAAATCGATCCCTATGCCTAACCCGAACCCTAAATCTATCCCTATGCCTAACCCGAACCCTAAATCTATCCCTATGCCTAACCCGAACCCTAAATTGATCCCTATGCCTAACCTGAACCCTAAATCGATCCCTATGCCTAACCTTAACAAAGTTAACGTGGGCCGCTAAATCTGAAACAGCCCCATAATGCTTGTGGAAAATTAGTTTCCCTTACCTAGCAGTATTTATATATATCCTTTTTAATATAGTAGTTAATAGTTAAATAGTAAATATGTTTTATAATTTATTATTTATTTCCATCTATTTTTTTTTAATCAATACAAAAAGGGAGGGTATTCTGAAATGATGAGAGCCATCACAAAAAACCTATAATAAATTTTTTCAAATGTGTGTTAAAGCCAAAAATTAAATAATCGCCAATTAAGCTGATTTGTTGCAATTTTTTGTTTTACAACATACTAAAATTACTCAAAACACTTTTTGCCACATATCTAGAGGGATAGAATAATCATGAATAATGTGGCTACATTTGAAACAAAATTAATATAATGGCTGAAATTTTAGCAAACGTGAGTTATTTTATTTTTCCCACTGCCGCCATCTTGGTTGCCGCGACCCGTGAGCCTCTTAAAGTTTACGGGTTGCAGCAACCAAGATGGCGGCCGTGTGATACGTCATGGCACCAATTGTCTGCATTTACTGTGAGTTTTTATTCTCTTTTTAACTTTAACTTAAAGTTTAAGAGGCTCACGGGTCGCGGCAACCAAGATGGCGGCAGTGGGAAAAATAAAATAACTCACGTTTGCTAAAATTTCAGCCATTATATTAATTTTGTTTCAAATGTAGCCACATTATTATATAATCCTAAAATCTAAACATACGTCATGTTCTTTGGATCCCATCCCAACCCCCCTGTTGGTTGAGTCATTAGATATCTTGCTCCCAACAATAACCCGCATAATAAATGAAAGCTTATATTCTGGCACTGTTCCGCCTCTTTGCAAATCAGCTGTCATCAAACCATTGCTTAAGAAGCCCGGTCTGGATGAAAATAATTTAAAAAACTATAGACCTGTATCTAACTTATCATTTTTATCTAAAGTTATTGAAAAACTAGTCCTAAAACAACTTTTTGCTTACTTAAATGATCACTCTCTTCTCAGTTCTAATCAGTCGGCCTATAGACATTTCCATAGCACGGAGACAGCTCTCTTGAGAGTCAGTAATGACCTCTTGCGCGCAATGGACAGCGGTAATGTCTCCATTTTGATCCTCTTAGACCTCAGTGCGGCCTTTGACACTGTTGACCATGAAATCCTTTTCAAAACCCTTGAAAACTACTTTGGAATTTCTGGTTCGGTTTTGGCTTGGTTTAGGTCCTACCTCTCTGATAGAACGCAAATGGTCTCTGTCGATGGCTGTCTCTCCGGCAGTGCTGATTTGGTGTACGGAGTGCCACAGGGGTCCGTTTTGGGTCCGGTTCTATTCATAATGTATACCAGACCACTACTCCTCTTGCTCGGGAGGCATGCTGTTGAGAACCAGTCATTTGCAGATGATACACAGCTATACATGCATACTCATCCATCTCTTGTCGATTCCGCTGTCCAGACTTTGCGGGGGTGCATTGATGATGTCAAGTCTTGGATGACACTCAGCAAGTTGAAGCTTAATGATGACAAAACAGAAGCACTCCTCATTTACAATCACAAATCATCCTCTACCTCAACTCTTCCCACCTCATTTCAAGTAGGTAACTCCGACATACAGTTTACACCCTCTGCTAGGAATCTTGGTTATATTCTTTCTAACAACATGTCTCTCGATAAACATATCTCTCACATTTGTCGTTCGGCATACACCGCCATCCGTCAGATCAGCTCCATCCGCCACTACCTGACAGTTAGCGCAACAAAAACTCTAGTCTGTGCTCTTGTTCTCTCTCGTCTTGACTATTGCAACTCACTTCTGTCAGGTTCACCGAAACATTTTATAGAAAAACTGCAGAAAGTTCAAAACTCTGCTGCTAGGCTTGTTCTTAAGGCAAAAAAACATGATCACGTCACTCCACTACTCCACTCACTACATTGGCTCCCTATACAGGCACGCATTGACTACAAGCTGTCTCTTCTCTGTCACAACTTTTTCTCGGATTCCTGCCCTTCCTATCTAACTGAACTTCTTTCTGTCTATTCACCCCTTCGACAACTTCGCTCCTCCGCAGACTCGCGTATTCTGTCCGTTCCCAAGACACGCACTAAATTATATGGTGAACGATCTTTCTCTTTCTGCGCCCCCAAACAATGGAATTCTTTGCCACTACACATCCGCAATATAACAACCACACAGGCCTTCAAAACTGCACTCAAAACACATCTATTTAAACTATACTACTCTGACTGATTCTCCTCCTATAAACCGATAAACGTACATGGGTTTCCTTGTAAAAATGTCTGGTGTGGGTGGATGAATAGACCTATGGTGTTGTTTTGCTTATATGTTGTTTTTATTTCATTTATGTATTTTATTTTAATATTATGATTATGCCTCTTTGCTATATATGTACAGCGCGGTGAGCCCAGCCCTAGGCCGGGGTACCGCGCTATATAAGACCACTTATTATTATTATTATTATTATTCATGATTATTCTATCCCTCTAGATATGTGGCAAAAAGTGTTTTGAGTAATTTTAGTATGTTGTAAAACAAAAAATTGAAACAAATCAGCTTAATTGGCGATTATTTAATTTTTGGACTTTAACCAAAGAACCAAAAACTCTACATGAAAAATGAAAACATATTACTAATTATTATTATTACTACTATATTTAACTTAACAAGGGCTATCTTACAGAAGTGTTCATTTCTTTAAAAAAAAAATCAATTTGAACATTTCAGACAAGTATACCATTAATAATTAAAGTACAGTTAGTTTTTAGTGGTACTGATTTTATTTAAAAATCATGTCAAATGTCTAGGCCTACGTGACTAGGGACCTCTAGATAATGTCTTCCGATTCAGCAATAGTACATATAGTCTGAATTGTTAAACACAACCATGCAATATTTTTTTACTTGGGATGAGTAGTAATCTGAAGACGAAAAGTAAACTTTCCATCCTCGCAAAGTAAAAGTTGTAAAAAGTCAAAAAGTTTACTTACTAGCCACAGTTCACTGTCACTAGGCATAGGCCTAAGCCTCGGAATTTAAAATCCTCGTTACGTAGGCCTACATTCTATCATAAAAAGATTACTGACCTTATTTTGAATATCAGAATTAACTTTCTTACCTATTTGATCAGGTTCAAAGAACTCAAAACTTTGAGATTTCACTTGTCTCATTTAACTGCTTCTACCTTGGATTCGAGAAGGCTGCTCTTCACAACTTTCAGCCAAGAAAATTTCCACTCATTACTTATGTAGGTCACAAAATTTAACTCGATTACTATGTACTAGTATGTACTGATTTTTTTTTAAATTTTATTTTTAAATATGACGAAACTAGAGTTAAATTTCTATATACTTAAGCTGTTAAACTGTTAAATAGTTTTGTTTTTTTAATAATTCAAATAATATACAATTCTCATTGTTTGAACGAAGGTGTATGCTGTTTTTAATTAGATAAATATTTGTATTTTGTGAATTTATAGCTGCATATAATTATTATAGGATGGAATTATTTTTTTTCAAAACATTAACTAACATACACTTTTTACACTTACACTAGACTATCTCGCAATTCAGAATGCTTTTACTTTTAAATATAATTAAAATGGTACAAAATGATTACCACGAGTAGATAATTTTATTTAATTGTTTACAGATCCTCTGATTTATTTGTAAATATATTTACTTTAAATTTAAAATAAAAACTCGGGGGTATGACGGTAGGGAGTAGCGGGTAGCGGATTCACCCATGATAATCGATCCATTGATTGATTGAATAGTTTAATCGGGTTGAAATTAACATTGATATTAAGGTCTCGTCTTGGCCTATTTAATTCTTACTTTAAAAAAAAAACACACACCTACGCAAATTGTAATATTTTATCATGCTGAAAGAGGTGAATACAAACAAAAGTTGCAGGCATATATGAATGGTCATCAGTTAAATGATGCAATGACTGTGACTGAATGATGGGGATTCTGATTTTCACCACCATATACTTTATAATAAAGTATATATTGTCCGCTCTTCTTTACTTAACATAATATTTTATTATGTGTTAAAGTAAGAGAGGGGTCATGTAGAATTTTTTATTAATGATAGAAACTTGAAAAAATGCAGGGGTGCCACACAAATATTTAAATGGGCGTATTTTTCATTGTAAGATTAGAAATAAGTTTCAGGTTGATGACGTCATTTTTAAAAACAATGTTGTTTTTTTTAAATGTACTAAATTAAACGAGAGTAGCATCCCTTTTCACGGAAGTTAATCAAAGATGGTAAGATGAGAGAAACTGGCTGAGAATGGTAGGCTACTTTAAATATAATACACATAAGTCAAAATATACTTTTGCAGCATAATTTTAGCTTAATTTAATTCATTTATCATTTGTTTTTTACATTTGCAAATGTTTTAATGTAGGGTCGGGTAGGCATAATCATATGATGGCAATGGTGATCATTTGGCTGCGGCTGAATAATCATGAACAATGAAAGTGTCTTCTACTTCTATAGTACCGGTATAGTCTATTAGAGTCTATAATAGTATAGTAGTATAGTCTATGTCTATAGTTACTTTATTTTTATAAAGTTTATATTTTAACTATAAATATTGGTAGTTTACTACCAATTATTGGTAGTTTACTACCAATTATTGGTAGTTTACTACCAATTATTGGTAGTTTACTACCAATTATTGGTAGTTTACTACCAATTATTGGTACTACCAATAGCCAATAACTTCTAGGCTCTAGGAGTTAGGGCAGGGAGATATACTATTTCAAACTATTTGTAGTTAACTATCAATGATCAATAGCTTCAAGAGAGCTATTGGTAGTCAAACTTAAACCAATCAAATCAGACAAATCAAACTAAAACCCGTTTTAGCAAAGTAGTAGTATTGCCCCATTCATTTATTACTAGTTCGTACTAGTGACAACACCTTGGCTCCATAATGAATCCTGAAACTGAAATAATTTTAGCTTTAAATTGCTGGTGATGTGTTCCACAGTAAATATAGGTCACAGACTAATTGGTTATGCAGACTATAAATGGGAAAGATAAATAATTAATTGTTAAATCAAAACAATTTTTTTTTTTTATAATATAAATAATAGTCATAGTCTTTGGATCATTACTATTTTTAATGACTGGTTTTAATTTTGGGTTTGGTTGCTAGGATTACTATGAATGGATAGTAACCACTTTTACTTCATTAACATAGGCCTACATGCATTCTATTATAATGAATGTATGTGTCATGTTTATTCATATTAAACTGATTATAATTATTTTAATAATGCAAAATTTAAAAAAAAAAAATTAAAAAATGAACTTAAATAAGTAAATATAAATCAAAGTTACCGCACTTTATTTTTTCACATTGAGCAACAGAATTCTTATTACTACAAATAAGTCTAACACGTTCATTTCCAATCCAAAGGTGTCCTCAAAACTAAAGTACGAATATTAATAACATAACACATTGGTCGAAAGAATACGAAAACATACTTTAATATATTCCACAAGGAAATTACAATTACTGGCATATCTCTTATCTCTTAATATCTCAGCTTAACACCTTAAGACAAAAGTTTAGATCATGTTGTCCTTATTTAGTCTAAGTTAAAAATACCCAACAGTATCAAACTTTTGCTTCACCTCAATGCAACAAAGATAATACTTACTTCTTACTTATGCCTTTTACACTGTCTGGGGCATAGGCAGTCTACAAGAATTTTCCATTCATCTCGGTCCTGTGCTTTCTTTTCCAGTAGCTTCCAGATGTATCCCATACTTTGTGTGAATATCTCTAGCTCTCGTCTCCATGTATTTTTAAGCCTTCCTCTCTTTCTTTTTCCCTGTGGATTCCATGTTAGGGATTATCTGGTGATACTATCTAGAGGTTTTCGAAGAGTGTGCCTTATCCACCTCCATCTTTTCCTTATAATGTCTTCATCAATTGGCTTATGGTGTGTCCTTTCCAGAACGCTTTATGGTGTTTGGCCATTTGATGATCAGGATCTTTCTAAGGCAAGTGATTATGAAGGTCTGTACTTTCTGCCTAATGCTCGGTGTTGTTCTCCAAGTTTTGGCATCACAGAGAAGAACTGTTTTGACATTTGTGTTGAAGATTCTAACTTTGGTTTGCAGAGTCAGCTCCTTTGACTCCCATATTTTCTTTAATAGCACAAATGCTGATCTAGCCTTACCAGTTCTAGCCCTGACATCTGTTTTGGACCCAACATTTATGTAAATGGTGCCGCCTAAGTATGTGAAGGCCTCTACTTCTTCCAGTACATTTCCTGCCAGAGAGATATCTCTTGGTTGGCTGAATTTACCTTCATGATCTTTGTCTTGCTTTTATTTATATTGAGTTCGAGCTGTGCTGAAATGGTGGCTACGTCTGAAGTATATTCCTGCATTTGTTGCTGGTTGTGGGACAGAAGTGTAATGTCATCTGCAAATTCTTGGTCACTCAGTTGTTCCCAGGGTTTCCACTGTATCCTGTTCCTCTTTCTGTCTGTGGATTGTTTCATTATCCAGTCAATGGCAAGGATGAATAGGAAGGGGGACAAGAGACCTCATTATCTTACTCCTGTTTCCACTTTAAAGGCATCTACCTTCGTGTACCACCTTGCATGTCATTTCTTCTCTGAATGATCCTGACTAGTTTTTCTGGTACCCCATAGTGCTGGAGAAGTTTCCACAAGATTTGTCAGTCCAGGATATCAAAGGCCTTTTCGTTGTCAATAAAATTTATAAATGGGGGGAGTTCGATTTGATGGACTGTTCTACAATGATTCATAGTGTTGCAATTTGATCCGTGCATGATCTGTTTTGGCAGAAGCCAGCCTGTTGTTCTCATAGCTGCGTGTCAACCTGGTCTTTCATTCTATTGAAAATAATTCTGTTAAAGACCTTTCCTGGTACAGACAGCAGTCCAATTCCTCTGTAGTTTGCACAGGATGAGGTATAATCTTTCCAATCTTTCGGAACTCTCTTCTTGCCATATCTTTTCAAACAGTGGGTGCAGCATGTTGACTATTGTATCTATATCTTGTCTCTTCATCTGTGTTTTGATGTTATCTGGTCCTGATGATTTCCCTATTTTGAGCTGCTTGATAGCCAGGGTTATTTCTTCCTTATTTGGGGCACTATCTTCTATTTGTAAGTCTTCATTTGCTTGTTGTATGTCTGGAGTGTCTGTGGGTGGAGGTCTGTTTAGTAATTCCTTAAAGTATTCCATCCATCTTTTTTGCTGTTCTTTCTGTTCCGTTATTGATCTACCTTCCTTATCTGTAACAGGTCTCTCTGGCCTCTTGTATCTTCCTGAGAGCTTTCTTGTTATGTTATAGACCTCTTTCATGTTTCCCTTTCTGGCTGCTTCTTCTGCTGTCGATGCTAGACCATCTAGGTAAGCATTTTTATCTTCTTTTTGTTTTGCTGTTTTTACCCTTTGACTTGCTTCTTTATATTTCTCTTGTGGTTTTGTTTTCTCCGCCCTGGGGCGTCTGCTGTAAACCACACTCTTTATCTCTTTTCTCTCTTTTATTTTTTGCAGCGTGTTAAGTGAGAGCAAATCTTTGTGTTTTTCTTCACTGGTCCTAAAACCTCATTGTGGATGTTAAAGACATCTTTATGTTTTACCATTTATGTTCTATCTGGTCATTATCTGTTTTGTTTTGCAGTGCCTGGAACTTATTTCTCAAGGTCACACTGAATCCCTCTCATTTCTGCTCGTTTGCCAGAAGTGCTATGTTGAATTTTAGTCATTTAGTAGCTGGCTGTTCCCAGTTTTTCTTCAGTTTTAGCTTGAGTCTTTCCCAAATAAGATGTGATCAGATGGGACATCGGGGGGGGGGGGGGGGGGGGGGGGGGCGTATAGTGCATGGATCAGCACCAAAATTAAACATTTTGATGATGAAAAAGCTCTGACATAGTTATACCCGCCATACATAC